AAATGAAACAAAAACAGCCCCTAACAAATCAGTTTAGGAAGATAAATTCTACAATGGTGTAACTTTACTGAGTTTTACCTGAGTGGATGGTCCAGCTAAACTCCACAAGCAGATTCTGTTTTTTTTCCTGTTTTTATTTTTTTTTTTTCCTGTGGCAAAATTTCCACTGTTATCAAGAATTGGCCATAGTCCCTATAGACTGTGCATGTTGTGTTTCTACTCATATGACTTTATTTTATAATCGCAGACTGAGGCAGACAGAAATTAAGTGAATTAGAGCTACCAATCCAGGCAATCAAAATGGAAAATTGATAATAGATATAGCTAGCAAACAATAGTATGCAAAGTATAAATATGAATTTGTGTATTTTGTTGTATACTGCCCCACAAAAAGCCTTGCTAAATTTTTTTGTGAAGCCTTGCTAGATGTTTTTGTTTGTGACCAGTGAGACAGCCTGTTGCAAAGGAAAGTTCAGCTGAAAGCAAGCAAGTCATTGTTAAAGAAAGAGAACTTGTGTTGGATCTAACAACCATAAGTTACATTTATTTTGTAGTTCGTTATGGTGAGGCTCTAGAAGAAAAGGTATTATTGTCAAACCTTCTCATCCTTCATTTCAAAATAAGTCCTTGTTCTTCTCAGATCAGTTGGATCCCAAAGGAGAAGGGGGAAGAAATACTTGTGTGTTCATCTTGGTGGTATTATGCCTCTCTCCTCTGGAAAGCTAGTGCTATTCTCCATAGCTCCGATAGTGCACCTCTCCAAGCATCTTAGTATTAATTTGCAATAGCTTCTAATCAGTAAACCTCCCTATTTCAGAGTAAACTCAGAAATGGTACGTCAGATGTGTGGTTGTGAAAACTGTACCTCCAAGTTGCTAAAGAAGGGACAGTATCTGTAATTATATTGACTACAGATTTAAATGAAAGAGGGTTGATAAGTTTAATTTTAAGTCCCCAAAAAGCTTGGTTAAAAAAAAAAAAAAAATTGTTGTGACTATAGTGTATCTGTAATAAAAAGTTTGCTGCACTTTCTTTGTAGCATCCAGTTTGTTTGGTCTTGGGGGAAGGATCAGAAGAGGTAAGCCACTTTTTTGGCTTGAAAAAGCTAAAGAGGTGCAAGTTGATATTATCTTTTCACTACTTGTTGGATCCTAGCCAAAAGCAAGAACTCAAAAGAATTTATTTGTTTTTACCAAAGAAATGAAGAGGAAGCTTCCCTGTTAGGGGAAGGTGGGTGACAAGGAGAAAGGACTTATGGGTGAAATTACTGAAGAAATGATTGAAAGAGCTTCTTAACAATCTAGATCAGTAATAGAGTACATCAGGACTAGAAAAGGCAAAGAATAAAAGGCATTAGTCTGTGTAACATTAAAAATATTTGTGGAAGTGCTCACTTTATGAATCCATTTATGTCAGGATGACAGGCTGCAGTAAAGATATTGCAATTTCACAAGAGGACTATGGGTGTCTTGACCTGGCCTTTAGACTAGGGAATGACAAAAAAAAACTTGGGAAGACATCTTGAGAGTCCCTGGCAAATGGTGGGTCTATGTGTCTTTGTGAAGTAGCCTTAGATTAACCAAAATTATTGTGAAGGAAAAAGGGCTTATAGTAAAAAGACATTTGTAAGAGGAGGATGCTCTTCACTCATCCGTAAAAAGATATTGTTCTGATCTGTAGTGACTAGCAAGCAGTATTTACTTTGTTGTCCTGTATGAGAATGTACATAATGAGAAATATGTAAAGCTCTTTTGACAAGTGGGCAGGGCTTCTGTGAGTGAATTGTTTCTTTCTTACTTTTCTGAATTCTTGTTTCTACTTGAATAGTTTATCTCTGGAATTGGATACAACTTTCTTTAATAGAAGGACAGGTTATCTGTATCATTAGAAGAAGCATTAGAAGCATTCTTCTAAACTATTAATTCTTCTAATGTAATAAATTTAGCAATATCCTGATTCTGAGTATATCATAATTGTTTGTGGAGCAAAGCAAGTTAGTTGTGCTCTTTCTCTGATTTCAGAAGTACAATGCATGCATGAAATGTTGTCACTTCAGCTCATGATATGTCAAGATATAATAATGTGCAAAATGCACATAGAATTTACACTATAATGTGCTTTAATTTGATTTGACGTTAGATTTCTACTCCTCATCTTTTCATGATAGCTACTGAAAAGATGTAATTTTATTTTGAAGTCTTAAATTTTACCTTTGGCATACTCTGATAAATGGAAATTGAGGAGGGAAAAGTTATAGAGCAGAGTTGTGGACACATGCAAATTAAGTTTTGACTTTGATTATATTTTTTTTCACTTTCTATTTGAGATGTGCACTCATTCTATTTTCCTTTTTGGTGAATATTTATCCTGATGGCTATCGCTAAATAATTGCTTGGTGTCTAAAGCTTTTTCATCTGACGGGCAATTCAAAACCTTGATCAAGGTCAATTGTTAAGGTGTCGAAATCTGAAAATTTAATCATCACCAACAGTAAAATGATACTCAGAATTATACCGTTAAGAAAAGCCACTATTTACCAAGGAAAGAGTTTTTTTTATATCCAGTGATCATAGTAATTTCTAAAGTGTAGCATCTTAGAATTTGCTTTGGCTTATTCACTTGAGAAAATGGCTGTCTATTCATTCACGCAGGAAATTCTGGACAGCTAGTCAGAAAAACAGACAAAATCCAGTCTGATCAAGAGTAGCACAGGTTTTGTCTATAACTTAAAGAAACTTGGTGCCCTAACCATGTTTTGATCTGCCTCATATACTTTCAATGCACTGCAAGTCCCCCATCCAAAAATGACCCACAGTTGAAAAATCAATTCTCAACCACTTTTAGTAAGACCAGTGTGAAATCATGCTAGTTAAAACATCTTCCATGGGACTGGGCTCTGCTCGCAGATATAGTACCTGCTCACATGAGACCATAATAGCATTTAGTGATGCTTTCCTGTACAACAAACACTTGCAGCTCATTTGTCTGACAATTCTCTGAACCCACTTCTGCAAAACATTTCTAATGGCATTTGCATGCACAAATTTGGAACAGGGAAATCCAATTTACCATTATACTTAGCAATTAATTGAGACATATAGCTGACTTTGACAACAGAATGACACAAGCTGCATCTGGTTGACAAGACCCTCTCTTTCTAGCTGGGAATTTGCACATCATTAGATAGTCACTCTGTTGCAACTGGAGGAATGCTGTCATCTTTTATGGTATGGTACCTCACAAGAATGTTCACTGCATAAGGCACAAGAAGGTCAATATATCCTCATAGAAAACTGCTGTTTGTTTGCTTACTCAGGATCTCAAGAGCTGCTCAGGAGGCCTCACTTGCTGCAGCTGTTGTCCCAATGCAAATCCAGTGCTCCATCCTGTGGAAACCCAAGGATTAGACTCATATCTAGAGGCTGCACATTATTTCGGCAATAATAACAAATTGGCTAGATCATGTAGTTCAGAGCAAGGAGCCCCTGCACCACTCTGAAATCTCATGTGCTTTGAGTATATCTCAAGTTCTCTGAATGCTTTTGTTTATTTTTAGTTTTGTTTGTGGTTTTTTTTTTGTTTTTTTTTTGTTTTTTTTTTGTTTTTTTGAAGACATGCTTCTTGATGGCTGTCAAAAGTTTAACTGGGGAATAGCATATATTTTGTTCCTGAGTGAGTATTGAGTCTTCGCCAACAGTTCCTGGGCTTCCCAAAGCTTCCAAGCTTCCCAAAGCTGCTGTGAAGATACCTTTGATACCTTTTGATAACTCCAAAAAGGCAGGACAGTAGAGCAATAAGAAGGCTGCAGTTAAGTACCCTGTTAACAAGCAAAACTGAAGACTGCGTGGAAAGGCACTGTACTGCTTTACAAATAGTACTGACGTATTTTTTTTCCTGATGCCTAAGAATCTGCTTCTTGATAAAGACACAGGGACCTAATTCATTAGGAACTCTCCTGGGGCATCTTTAGTCAGGTTATTTCCATCCTCATTTTGCTAGCATCTTTCAACCAGTGACATGATTACAACCTTATGTAAATATATCCAAAACAAATAGCTTAGATATTACGTATTGTTCTGGTAGTATGCAGTGCAACACATTGTCATTTACAGTGTTAGATTTTGCTATCAAATAGCTCTATACTGTTACAATTGTTCCAGAGGTTTTTGTTGTTCCTCTGGAACAATTGTAGCTGGTTTTGAGGATGGTAGATTAAAGCTTGCGTTATCTCCATCCAAGGAAGAACAGTCCCACCTAAGCTGTGTGTATGCAGTAAAGCCAGTATGTTGAGTTCAGTAGTAGCACTTGGAGTGACTGTTTCTGTAATGCTTCTACAGGAAATGAATGTGTAGAAGTTGGATTGCTCTAATGGCAAAGAATTAAAAAAAAGAAAACAAAAAACTCAGCAAATTGCAGATCTCACAAACATCAATCTTCAGAGTGAAAAGGAGTCTTACCATAATCACACATGATCATTTCCCACTTAAATGCAGGGCCTATTTTTTTTTTTTTTTTTCTTGATGTTCTGAAGATCTCCAGGTGTGGAAGCGAATCTGGCTCTCTGGAAAGTGTGATTCAGAGTTCTGTAAAGAATTTTTTTTCTTATAACTGAAATTTCCCTTGCTGCAGCTTCTGTTTGTTGACTCTTGTCCTGTTCTGCGCACCTCAGGTAGAGCATATGGTTAACTTTCATTATCGAAGAGTGTTTTTATCTCAAATATATCACATAAGATCTTTTCATTTCTGCAGTATCCTACTAAATGTATATCAGTAGGGGAGGAGAAAGAAGGTCAGGGCAGTACAAGATTTTTTTCTTCAAAGTTCTGTTTCCTCTAAGGATTTCAAAGAACATACTATGGAAAAAAGGCACTAGATGTGCCTCTGGAAATGTTACATCTCTTCTCAGAAGTATATTTGCAAATGTGGGCATTGAAAACTTGTAAATACTGAATTATTTGTCTTGTCTGAAATCACAAAAGAAATTAATCAAACCACTTCAGTTTTCATTTTAGGTGCCACCCTCTGTATCAAAGCAATTCAGGTCAGTGTGTCAAAAAAGTTTGTGCCTGTTTTTTTTCTTATTGTCCCATTATTGAAATGATGATACAAATACTTTCGGCTTGGAACCTAAAAACACATCAACAGCTATGAGACCTTTTCTTCTAGGAAAAAAAAAAGTGTTTCATTTTCTTTTGGGTTATTTGTTTTTTCCCTTCGGTGGGCATTCATACATTTTTACTAGATCTCTTCTTGCCACCTTAAATTAAATTCATAAAAATGTCAGAATGCAAGTGGTCAAAATTCTTTTCTCATCAGTGCTGTGGTTCTAGAGGGAATTTTTTTCTCCAGATGATGCTATTTGAACTTGACTACTGACAATAAATTTACTGCTTGTAGAGCTCCAAATATGTGATGTCTTTTCCTTCACTTTCCTGACTTGATGCTTGTAACTTTTTCCCTTTCTGGGAAAATATTGCCACACACAAAGCACTTTTCTCTATTTAGAAGAAGTTCCGTGGTCCTTCCCATGAGAGGGTCATGTAAGGCAAGGCCATGAAATGAAAAGTTTAATCATGTCCATAGCAAATAGGAACAGGGATCATGTTAGAGAAAAATAGTCCATTTCCCTTCTTTGGTCTTTGATTTATACTGTATTTTAGCAACTAAAATTTGTTGTCATGGCCCTGTAAGTTGTTCTGGTATAAAAATAGCAACCATATAATCCTCAGCCTACCAATGTAAGTTAAAACGTAGAGGTATTGATTTGGAAAAGATTGGTTTAGCATGCACTATTTTGTGTTTTACAAGAATTATTGCATTCTGAAAGCAAGATTATAACAGTGTTTCCAACACTCCTGATTTTTATTACAAGTCTAACGACATTTGGTGTTTTTCCTTAGAATGCCAGCTCCTAGACACATCTCATTACCTGTGATTCTCAGTTTTCATAGAAAAGGAATGATTTTAGCTCTTGCAGTTCCTGAGAAAAACTTGCAAATCTTAGCCCCAAGCCCTTTAAAGCAAAAAGTAAAGACCAAAGAACTTGTAAAATTCCAGTTTGTAAATTAATCTTACAGTCTTTGGTTCTGATTCAGAACTTCTGGGTGTTTGAGGCTGGAAGTAGATTTCCTATTAAATTAATGGATTACTTTTTAAAAAAAAATTCATTTCAGATTTATTTACTGTTTTTTTTTTTTTTCTAATCTTTCTTTGCTATTCCAGATTGAAGTCTGAGAAGATTGACTTGAAAGGCTTTGAGATGCCTCAAAAATAGTGTTCATAGGTGAGTGAGGTGAACAAGGCATTTGCATGCCCAATAGAGATTTGACTGGAAATATTTCTGTATCCATAAATATAACATATGTAAACATTACCAGAACATTTCACAATATAATTTTGAACTAAATCTGTGTTTGCAGTACTTAGAGGACTTCACAATTTTTCTATTTTAAAATATATCATGGAAGAGAAGTCTTTTAATTTTGGCATGTGCTCAGAAATGCATAGAAATGTTATAAGAATGTGCAGGGAGGGCGAATGAGTATAATAGATCTACCTGCAAGATATTTTAATTCATTTTCTATAGAAAGTAATTGGGATCATTTGTGCTAATTAGAGGGTTTATGAAAACAAAATGAAAACATTATAAATATGATGCTCTGTTCCTGGAGGACTCATTTTTCTGTCCTTCAAGAAGAGAACAAAAGTAGTTCCACGTGCCCAAGGTGGTTTGTCATGAGGCATGGACTGCATCCAGCAGGAAAAAGTGCATAGAGTACAAATGATGGCGTGTACACAGGAGTATATTTGTATTCAAATACAAAAATACTTTGGAAATAACTTTGATTGGAAAATCCATAAATTATAACAGTTTGTTACTATTTTTACATCTACTCATCCATCTATGTTTATATTTTACAATCAGTTATTTAAATCAGCTGATGCTGCTGCCATGTTCTGCTTATACTGAAGTATCTGAACAGACAAAGTTTTTACAGTACTGTGGTAAATTCCAGTCATACAGTTCTGTGGGGATCTTTTGTCTGTTTTCCTTGTGTGTGAGTGTGTGTGTGATTTGCTTGAAGAAATAAGAAAATAAAGCAGGTGAAGTGAAGAAAAATTGAGGTAAAAAAATTTCTTGCTGCAAAATGAGAAATTCAGATATCTGAATACAATTTTCTCTAAATAAAATACATTTTTTTTTTCTTTCCTGAGGGGTTTTTTCTACTGGTACAATTGTAGCTTGTTGTTAAAATTGGAGTTGTATCATAGGCAATGCCAAACCAAACAGAGCTGGCTACAGCGTTTTAATGACTTTCTCTGGCCCACACAAAGCCTATCTACTGTATTTATTACAACAACTCCTCAGGGCTAGTCAGAGGCATTGTGTTCACTGTGAAACTTGTTATGTTTCGCAAACACCAATTAAGAAGCAGCCTTTCTCACTTTGCTACTTCTCTACCTCCTCCCCCCTGGGTTCTACATCTTAAATAAAGTGGTGAAGGGAAAATCTGTATAGTAAAAATTTCTCCTATATGCATGCGTATATACATGGCTATGCATGTATATGTAGATGTATAAATTTCAGAGAAGCTATGCTACATTTCTACATCTCCAGTTTCTCCTGTACAGAAAGTGTTGTGAGATGTGGAGGAAACTCCCTGCACCATTGACCTCTGGTGCTGCCACAGCTCTCCATAAACTGGTCTGGCCAAACTTTCACAGACCAAAACTTTGTAATATTTTCTGTTTGTGATCAAAAAAAGCTCTTCCTATGTGGGGATCTGACCATGGAGCTTTGCGTTCTCCCACCTCTCCCTCACTCCCTCTGTGCTCTGTGCAGAGCATCACTTGCAGTCACCACTCATGGGAAACTGCGTTGCACAAATTCCTACACAGCCACTGATACTGAAGTGCAAGAAAATCCCATGGCTTCTCTACTTCTTTGCCTTCAGTTTCCCCTTACTAACTTTATTTTGCACTCTTAATATATTAACATACTTTATTTTGCTCTATTAAATTAAAATATTTGGCTAAATTTCCAAGCAGTTAATCCCATTACTTTTTTTATTGGATTTGAAACGGGTTTGTCAAGAAAACTGTATTCCTGCAATTTATGAATGCACTGAAGAACGCTTAGGAGACGACTGTGTCTGCATTCAGAGCAGGAAATGTTAAATGGAAATTGAGAGAGAATTTGTAAGATTTATTTTCCACTACTGCAAGTCTTGATCTGAAAAATAGATTATTTCTTTTTCTCCTTGTGTCCAAGAGACAGTGCTATAATTTTTTAATAAAGATCATATAGCCTTGGAAAGCCATTTAACAAGCTTTCTTGGGATATTAGAGTACAAGCAAGGTTTGTCTGTTTAAAAAAAAATATATATTCTGAAATGTGGAAAATAATTTTAAATTTTGGACAAGCTGTGCATACCTTGTTTTTTGTTTGTTTTTTTTTTTTAATGAAGTTATAAAATAGATGTTGCCCCCAAATACCCTGATCTACAATGATTAAATTCAGTTTTGCATGGAGACTGGGCATTAATCTTTTGCATCATAGCTTAATGATTTATTTTGCTTGGAAAGTAATTGTGGTCCTGAACTTGTCCTTAAGTCCAAATGGTTTCCTTGGTAGCTGGATCAGGCCTATAGATTGTGTGATAAAAGCCAAAATCTGTTTTGAATAGACTGGGCTGAGTCCAGGGCATGATAGGACATGGTTGTGTAGGAGTGGACATGAAACATGGTTTTATTTTCAGAGCATCTGGAACATGCCCTGAGGTAGGCTCCAGCCCCACGTCTGCTGTGGGAGGGCTGCAAGATGAGGCAACAAGGAGCCAGGCTGCTCCCAGGCCAAAAATTTTCATATCCATTCATTTGGGCAGGAATCCCTCACAGGATAGCTGCTGGGGAGGGCAAGTAGGAGGAGAGGATGTGGCTGGTTGGAAACCCGAGTTTCCAAACATGGCTATGGGGCAGATAGCAGCAGGGCCATGCATACCCCATGTGGGAGCCAGGCACCATTCTGAGAAGTTTCAGAGGGGTACAACCTCTGGGGTCTCCCAGTCCTACCAGGGCTCCAACTGGGTATAATGCACTGGTTTACCATCAGTCACACACTTCTTCCTTCCTTGTCCTGTAGGCTGGATAATGTCACTGTGCCAGGGCATTAACCTTGCGGTTTCTGCATCTAAAATTATTTTGTTTTGAGTTTTCTTCTAATATTACAGCTTTGCTTCTGGTTTATAAATGCTCCATTTAAGGAACTATTTAGCAGTAACAACATTCCTGAGCTCAATCCAAGGATTGAGCTAATTATGGCTTCCCTTCAAAAATCCATCTTTAACTCCCTTCTACCTCCACCCCTCTCTGCTGTGGTCAGAGATACTGAAGATAATAAAGAGCTAAAACTCCTACCTAAATAAACAGAGGAATTAATTGGATGCACTGTTTCTGCCAGATTAGCAAATCCCCATCTTGCAATCTTTATTTATGTGAGTTATCCTGCTAAGTGGAAATGCTTGTGTAAGTAATACCTCGAGTCTTGAGAATTACTCTGAAAAACCCAGAAAGTCCAGGAGGTTGGGTTTTTTTTTTAGTATCTTCTGTAAATGGGAGAAGGAAGACTGGCAAGAAATATTCTAGCAATCCCTTAGCTAATTAAAGTGGCTGGTGATGAATATACAAAAGAAAGTTCCTTCTGCAACTGCGTAACTGCTGCACTAATTCTTCAACTTTATATCCAAGAAAAAGCATGTCTTAAAGTATCCTTGGAAAAAATAAGCCTCTTCTGTTTATAGGCAGTATAGTTCCACATTCTTGGTATATGGAACACCAAAAGTCCTGGGATAGCCAGCATCCTGGCAGAAAGCCATGCATCTTATTATATGGTAGGAGAGACAAATTTCCTCCTGCACAGTATGTCTATAAATAAAGTGCTTCTTCCACAAGCGATTAAATGGAAGCATTTTTCCTACCAGCATGCAAATACAGTATTTGTTTCTTACTGCTAGTAATAGCCAATTTGCAATATTAGTTTAAGATCAGAATTATTTTAATGATGACTTTAAAATGCTTTCTCCTTGGTTTGCACAGGGATGTTAAAATAAATAAAATAAACAAAAAAAATTTCTTAAAGGGCATTTCTTCACTTTTAAAGGATCTGGAATTAAGAAGGCCTCCTTGAACTTTGTAAGCTGTCCATGATTAAAGTGTTATGTGTGTCTCAGAGGCAATTTGAAGTTAATTATTAAGGGTTGCCATTCTATTGAAGCTGTGTTTGCAGACAACCTGTAATATCTTTGGGGCATTTGTGTAGTTTATTTACATACTACCTAGCAAAATAATCTCGTATTTTTTTGTTGATGTCTCTAGGGAGACACTAGAAAAATAAATAGTAATACATGACTCTTCATCTAAAATCTGGATAGCAGACAGCATCGCTGATATGCTCTTACCTTTTATTCAGAATATATGGTTATACATTTCTGGGAGTGAGTAATGAGGTTGTTGAAGTAAAGCAGGGGAAAGGCTGGGGCACCTTCATCTGATGGTTTTGTTAGCTTAATTTTTGTAGCAATAAGTAAGTCTTAGGTGTCTTTGTTTTTCAGCAAAGTATTGTAGTATTCTGAGTTACTATGCCTATCCTCACTCCTTTCATGGATGAGGATCAAAAGGAAACTGGAATGGCAGTCCATCTTATTATATGAAAAATTTTATTATATTACAAATAGAACAGCTTCAGGATGATTGACAGGAAAACAAAGATTTTCTACTGTAACTGGTAAATCTGCAGCCATCATATAGAATAATTGTATGATATTTCTAAATTGTTAAATTGTTACCTGGACCTTAGTTTTGCAAAATAACAGAAACGTGGAACTGTTGAGGTTGGAAAGGACCTTTGATAGGCATCATCTGCATCCTTCCCATGTTTGAGTAGACATCTTGAGCAGGCTGCTCAAGGCTGGGTTGCCTGTACTCCTCATAGGAGTTCCGTTTTTTTTTTTTATTTTTTATTTTTTTTTTATATTTATTATAAAAAAAAAAAAAAAAAAAAAAAAAAAAAAAAAGAAAAATAATCAATTTCAAGTTTATTTTTCTCTTGTTGATCCTAGAACAAAATCCTTGTGGCTTTTCTACTTGTCTTCCTTTCTTCTCCTTTATGAAAGCTCTTCACACATAAATAGCATAACCTACAGGGAACTACCTCCAGAAGGAAATGTTTGTAGCAGTGGCATTCCATATGGCGAGAAGGGTGAAGAAGTTACAATGCTTAATCAGTGCTGGAAATTAGATTATTCATGTTGCAGTTAGAGGCATTATTGTAAAGAATTTTGTAAAAATGTTGATTATATAATTAAACAGTAGAAGGAGTTACTATTTTTTATCTCCTACTGTTTCCTGATGAAAAACAGTAGTTTTTAATGTCTTTTGATCTAGTGTGTGGCAGATGGTTTCTAGTAGCTTTGCCTGTCTCACACATTGAGTGACAGCCAGAAAGGTGTCCCATACAGACCTAAGTGGGGCTATCTTTTTGTAAGACAAAGTATGTTCTTAAATAATAAATGATCCTGGCAAGTTGTTTATTACCAGCAGTTAATGATCTGTTTATTAGTTAAAGTCTGTGGCTGTTAACACTCCAACAAATCAGTTCACTCTGTTAAACATCAATTTTGAGTACATTATTGGTATTAACCATACAACGAACTAGAACTGTTGCAGACAGTTGATTTTATTGCTGTAGTAGAATTGTATAACAGGAGGCAAAGGTGTTTGATAGGATACCAGTGTTCCTGAAAAGAAAAATAGATTAGGTTACTGTTGTTTGTACTGGTTAACAACTGGCTTTTATTCATAGTGAATGTATATTCTGTTTTCCCAAATGTCTCTCAAGTAGGTACATTTTGAAGTCCTAAATTCTCTAATTTCCATGTTTTTAATGCTGTAAGGATTACTTTTGCTTGTGTACATTTACTTTGGAAAGAAAAAATATATGGTGGCCTTAAAAATTAATTTCTAGGAGGGGTGTGGGAGGAATAGCTTGCTTTAAAAAATTGCTCAGAAACTAAATTTTGCTAAAACCACTTGTTTGAGCAATTGGCGCCAGATCAACTGGTTTTCCAGACTAGTTGCAGCTACTGGGAGGAATAGGCAGAGACAGAGTTTGAAGACTGTGTTGGATCTGCGTTAAGCTATGCTTCGCTTACATCATGTTAAATTCCCACAAGCATCTTCAACAAAATAAAGTTCCAATGGAAGACCTCAGATATTAAGTGATCTTGATGAGAATACTTGATCTTGAGTGGAATGGTGCTCTACACAGTTTTGGCTCTGCCTACTCCCAAACCATAAAATACACATATTCCAATTTTGCATCTGATCAGGAAACTAAGCTGTAAAAGTAAGTTCACTCCTAGGGCTCAAGTGGTGGTAATAAGTCTGGCAAGGCTGGATAAATAGGTGTGAGAATTACATTCCAACCCACAGATTCAAGAGTTCAAATCTGTTCTTTCAATTTTGGCCCACTTCTTGTAAAAGGTAGCTCTGATACTTTCAGCATTTAGAAATAATCCTTTGATACATTAGCAGAAAGTAATCCCCAAAAGCATTTCTTTAAATTGTATCAAGAATACTTTTTTTCAGTTTGTCTGACAACTAAAATGCTCTTATGTTTTCTCGATACTGAATTAATTACATTGGTACAAGTCATTACATGGAAGCCAAATTCTTTTTGGCTTTTCTCAGTTCTAGAATGGCTTATTCTGGTTTAATTTGAATCATTCTTAAAACAGCCAAACTCAGCTAAAATAAACACAGTAAAAACATCCATCAGTAGTTCATAATGCTCAGCTAGTGCAAAGGCTATCTCAAAATAACATTTTAAATTAAATCACACTGACTTGATGTCGATATCCTGCAACTTGCCTGAGGTAGAGCAAATTACTTGAAAATTTGTTCTATCACCACAACTTTAACTGTAGTGTAAAAGGTCAGTACTGAACAAGAATTCAGTAACAAGAGTGACACTTTGGACCCTGCACAGCAGGTCGTCTAGCAGACTTTTCTGTAATGGTATTAAAGTGCTTAGCTCTTTTTATGCTCAACAGGGCAGTAAATAGGTTGGCAAACAAGGAATAGGAGGACCTGTGGTTTACACCCAGTGTCAACAACAAGATAATTTGCCTATGGCTAAGTACAGCTTTCATAAGAGTTTTAATTCCCCTAGAGGCCCTGTGGTTTCCATCTATTCCTGCAATTAGCCCTTTATCACACAGGAAGGTATTTGCAATGTAATCTGAATTAAAACCTAACCCAACACCCGTTAAAACCCAAGGTGCTGAAGATTTGCTGGAATACTCTCGCTGTCGGTGTGGTGCCAGTATGGGTAGTTCAGGGGCTCAAGCTTCCCCCGTGCACAGCTGAGTTCTCCCATACCACAGCAGGTTTCTCTGCTCCGTCCAGAAAAGTCTCAGAGAATGAAGTAACAGCAAAGTGTGGGGGTGATCTTAGTTCTCACCCTTGCTAGACAGTGGCAAAGACTTTCCAGCGGCCTCTGGGAGCACTGAATCATATTTTAATCTTGCAAAGCATGTGGAGTTTATAGACCAGTGATATGAAAATGATCTTAGCTGGAGTCAAATCGCTTGCTGTACCCTTGAGGATTATTGCCTGCAGCTGAAAGTTTCTCTGGTTGGCATTCTGAATTACTTAATTCACAGGGTGCACTGCAAACACAGCATGATTACACAAAGTCCACATCATCCAAGGAAGAAATCTGTGGCTGCTTGAGCTGATTGTTAGTGCTATAAACTCAAATGCACTGACATTTGCTTCTTGCCTGAAATGTAATGATCTTTTCTGTATGTGTATTTATGTGTTTATACATTATAGCCTTGTGTTGGAAGACATGAATGTTAAATGTGTTTTTCTTCCCTGACCTGAACAGCTTTTACTGACTCTTATTCTACCCTGTTTATACAGTGCTACATAGCAATGAGTGCTTTTAATAGAAATACCTCAGAGCTGTTTCTGGTGGTACTTATTTTTTCTTTTCAATGTGATGCAATGCTTAGCAAAAGTAATTGACTTTCCTCATAGTTTTATTTTCCTTCAACCTTCAAGAAGAGCAATTCTCCAGTTAAATCCCTCTAAGTGAACACTGCAAATGCCACATCAGAGAAAAGCATGTGTTTTACCAGTCTGGCTTGAGAACATTTGAAATCAGACCTCAGTTTGAACCAAAGGGTGGAGAGCAGCAGGTGAGGTGACCAGGGATTTGGGGCAGGGGGAACTTATTGTGACTTGAGGAAATGCAAAAATTGTGACATTTTGCCATCATTTGTCATAGCATCTGACTGGCATCTTTAATATCACAGTCACTTCTAGAATTGTGTGGTTTGGTCATTGAAAGGAACAGACTATTATTTTTCTAGCATTTCGTGAACTGTCAACACATAATTGTTCAGTATTCAGTAAACAGGCAGAAAATCCAACCACAGATTCAGAATTTCTGATGTTAAATTTGCAAATGCTGGAGTTCCTCTAGAATGAATGATTTTTGAATAAATTTATTTATGGAATTGCTGTGCACAGGCTAACTCCACGGTTATCTTGGTAGAGTGGATGCTTCAGTTTTCATCTCTCCATATGCCTCAAAATGCACAATACAGCAAAGTGTATTTTGCAGTGCAGAGGATTTTAAGACACAATTCAAAGGCTGTCTGAGCAAATGCCTTGCTGAATCAACATTTACACTAGCCATAGTCAGTTTTGTAGTCAGTGTATGCCATGCACAAGAAAGTAAATTTATATTAGCAAAGCTCTTTCAAGAGCCTGAAGTTCATACTGAAATAGTCCTTGTACTAAGAATCCAGTTGTTGGGGCCAGAGTACAGGCTGGGGGATATTTGTTGAAAATATTTATAATTATGTTCTGGTTTCCCTAAATTCTGCTAATGTTTCAACATGAGTCAGACTTCTTTTGTTGAATTAGGGCAGGCTGAGGTTAGGAGAACCTAAAATTAGTGGGTTTTAAACTGATTGCTAGACTATGGCATTAGTCATCTGATGATCAATGACTTCAAAAGTCATTGTAAAGAAAATACTTTATAATCAAAAGAAACCAGAAGAGTGTGCACATCCATAATAGGGGAACTTTTTGGGTTGCAAAGATTCTGAAAGTTCCTTCAGCTGTTTTACAGTTTGTCTAATGTGCATTACAGAATATTGGCACTCTGGACCTTAACATCACATCCATCATTGGTTTTTCAATGACTTATCACGGACAGCACTTCAGATAGATGCATGAAACAGCAATGAATACAGACAAACCTTGCTGCCACCAACTACTGTTTCAATCTGTCTTCATGCCCTGTTCCAAACAGCAGATTTTGTTGCAAACATCAAGTTTAACAGCCTAGAGCAACAAAACTGAAGCTCAGGCAATGACATGTGGCACTGTGCTAAAAGGGTTCTGAAAAGACCCGGAAAGATAGCCTCAATAAGCTTGAAGTGCTTTTCTTTATCCTTAGGTGATTTCTGAAGGTGAAGTACTCCGATGTAAAAGCCCATACAGCCTTAAGGTAAGGTTACTCCTTGTCTGTTAAACTTGGATTTCTTAAAGAGCATGCAGTAGGATTCTGATAAAGGTCTGCAGCTTACTGTTTTCTTAATGCCTATTGTGCAATGCTTCTGGTACACGTGGTATGTGATAGCTGAAAGGTGCAGAGTACTTGCGGCATGAAAAAAGTTTCCCAACTGCAGATTTAGTGTAGACCAAGACAGACTATAAATTCACATTTGATGTGCACAAACTTTCATGAATCAGTCTGTCCCGAAGTATCTTGAGCACTTTGGATTTTCACAGTGTGGAATACCTAGTGTGTATTTACTGCCCTGAGGTTAATGCACAACAAAGAAGTGGCCTAGGAAATGTTGATGTCAATCTGTTGAAGTTTTGAGCATATTTAATCTCCAAATCTGTTGCTGATGTATGCTGATATATACTGCAAGAGGCAGAGCAGGAAGGAGTCATTATTTCCTCTCAAAAAATAATTTATCAAGGGCAAAAGTCCTCACTCTCAAAAATGTATGTAACACCACGTCAGCACATAAGCAAGAAGATGTAATTGGTAAAACTTCTGAAACATGAGCTATCCCTGTCTTCTGGCTGCTGCATGTTCTCAGCTAAGTTCCAGATCCAGAGCTATATCTAGCTACACACCGCAACAGCCTTCTGAAACAGGCATTGGGCCCAATCCATGGTCTTGCATATCTTTTCAGTAACTTTGGAACAAATCCTCCAAGAAAACTCAGAATTATCATAAAAGAACTGAACTTCCTTCAAAACCAAAAGATTGAAGACCAGACTGTATGGAAACAAGATGTAGAAAAAAATGTATTCAAAGGTCAAAGTGTCTGATCCTAAGGACAGCCAAAAATGTAGGGGGAAACATCCAAGGTCAGGCTGGATGGGGCTCTGAGCAACCTGATTGAGCTGTAGGTGTCCCTGTTCATTGCAGGGGAGTTGGACTAGGTGACTGTTAAGGGTCCCTTCCAACTCAAAAAATTCTATGACTCTATGAACAGATAAATACTGACATAACATTCTGGTTCACTGGAGTAGCTGACACTTGTTTCCCCTGAATACTTTATAATCACAAATTATAAAAATGCCTTGTCTCATTTGATCAGGTCCGAAGTATAAAGTTTTAACTATAAGTTCTCAAACTTGTAGAGTATTGATGGAATCTGAAACTTCAGTCCTGAACTGGTGAAAGTTGAGTACCAAGGGAAAAGCCATCAATTAATCTAGACTTCAAAGATAATCCTATTTAATTTAAAAATTTTCCGTTAACTTTCAGAAAGGTATTAAAACTTTTGTGTGTACTAACAGTACAAATAGAAATAGCTTTATAAATATGAAGAAGAAACAAACCCAAGCTTTAGAATGTCATATAAACATAGCTTCATACTTCTGTCCTTCAGTGATTTGGGTCTTGTGTTCCATTCCACAAATGACCTTTGTTGTAAACAAACTGTGTTTTTCCCCCTAAATGCATGAATTAGAATTCATCTGGGGATACAGTTGACTGAGAATGCTGTGATTTAATCTAGAGACCTATGTTAAGGTCGAGAGCATTAGTAGGTAAGTATAATCATTTTCTACCTCAGCTGTTTAACTGGATGACCCTGTTTATCTGTGTAGTGTAACCAGTGGTCACTGCAACCAATTATGGTGATATTGTTTATTTCATTATTTCAAAATAACATCTAACCAAGGCAGCAATTTTGTAATTCCTTCTGGCATATTTGTCTTGCTTCCATTAAAACTATTACCTTTCATTTTATGTTTCTCTACTGTAATTATCCTTTTTTTTTTTTTAACTTTTGACCTTTGCAAGAACTAATTTTTAATATAATTTCTTCTTTTTTAAAAATTGTGAATCTTCCTGATCAGTATCTGGCACACCTCACTCACTCCAGAAATAAAGCAGTCAAGGCTTCTATTAAGTTTCAGTTACATGGTGTTTGGCAATGATAATGTAACTTTTAGCTGGAAGATCCCTCTCTCTCTCTTTCAGTTCGCATTCAAAATCAGTGGCACTTAGCAAACAGGCTTCCCTCAGTGTAGAATTGGGTGGTAATTCCAGTCCCACTGGAGTAAAGCAACTAGATTATGCTGGAGTGATACACATAAACTCTAAAAATCCCCAAAATAACCTATATGTTTCATGAATATGTTAAAGAAAACAATGCAATAGCTGCCTTATCTGTGGCTCCCTTATTTATTTTTAATGCTGATTTTGTTTCTCTAGCTCCCTAGAAAATCCTTTTGAGGCTCTTTGCATTACAAATAAATGGCTATTTTGGGTGTAATCTCCCAGGGCCTTTCTGGAGAGGGGAGAGGTTCTGGTGGCATTAACTATGTCTGGTGGCATTAAGAAGAGATTTAGCCAAGGAAATAATACTTGAGTAGAATGATAATCGCTGACCACACACAATTTCTGTTGACTTGATTTGTAGTTGTGTGTGCTCAGGATCTCTTGTGGTTTAAAATCCAGTGTGCTACATGATGATCCAAGAACTTAGTTCAATCACTGGAAAAAGGCAGTTCACCAACAAAGGTCTTACTTTGGTTTATGTTTGTCACTCAAGAAAGCATTATTTTGGCTTACTCTGTGTGTGTGTGTGGTTATCATTATTATTCTTTTTAAACTGCTGTATTTATTTATACTAGTAAAAACCTAGCATAGGAAGAGATCCAAATAGATACTGTGTTTAACACAATTTAGGCAATGTATGTAGGGATTAGATGCACATACCTATACACAGCTATATGTGACTATATGTACAGGGAATTAGAATTATTCTTACAAAGACAAACCAAAGTACTGAAATGTTAGAGTGAAGTCACCTTCTCTTGGAAGCTTGTGAGAACATTGTTATGGTATGGTTCAGTTTTCAGGGAAAAATTTGGTTGTTGTCTGTCCTATGATAGGGAGTCACTTCTAAATTGTGAGTCATTCAAGAGACTGCTACATCAGCCTCTGCATCACAACTTTTGGCATGATTGTTGTTCTTAATGTTGATGTCATCTCACTTTACTGATACTAAGCAGAACTGATCACAGCATCTTTGAGTTTATGACCAGACTGCATCTAGTGGAAGGCAAATGACCATGGAACAGGAAAACCTCTTGTTGGCTCCTGTGAGTGCAATCAAGGACCAGAAATTTTTTTTCACTGTCCACTCTGAAATATACTTTATTTTGAAAGAGTCTTGCAATGACCTGCACAGTTTAGATGTCTCGTAATTCCTGTTCTTTATCAGCAATGATACAAACCTTAGTTTGCTAAGCATGATATGTGTTGGAATACATGAGAAACCTGCGCAAAAAAAAGAAAGAAGGAAAGAAGGAAGGGAAGAAAGAAAGGAAGAAAGAAGGAAGGGAAGAAGGAAAGAAAGAAGGAAGGGAAGAAAGGAAGAAAGAAAGAAAGAAAGAAAGAAAGGAAGAAAGACTCTATCTTTCACTTTTGTTCACATTCATGAACTTATTTAAGAGATTATACTTTCTTCATTAGAAAACCTCACATCAGACTGAAACCATAACATATTAAGCTTCTAAAACATCCAAACCACCTACAACAGAATGTGTCTATGTTGACTCATTACATTTATGGAAAAAAAAAAAAAAAAATCATCACTGTACACTAACAAAAGGGGCAGTGTATCTTGAGAAGTGAGTGTATGACAAACTGACATATACAATAAATACGGATCTTACTACAGTAACAGATTGAAATTATATAGCTCATTTGAACCTTTTTCCAACTTCAGCTTAGCCTCAGCTAAAGCACACAGGAAATAAACACATTGAGCTGTCTGGCACCAAGCAACTCTCCAGGTCCTGTTCTGTCTCGCACTGGGCTAGGCTTATCCATCCAATCAACATTAGGAGGTTTATTTATGTGAGACAGATATATTAGCAATAAATGGATTTATTCAGTAGCTTGCTGGATTTATATACATTCACAAAATCATTTCAGTTTAAGGAGACTTAAAACTGAGTGACCTACTATTTGTGCGCTCTGTGTGATGAAGCCCTTATGGTTCTACACTGCTCTTCACCAGAAAGGGAAAATAAATAAATAAACAACTAAAAGGGAAAGGGGAAGAACAAAAAAAAAAAGCAACCCAACCCGAATTGAAGTCAGTGAGATATTTACTAGAGTAATACCTGCAAAAGACTTGGGAGCTGGTGAAATGTCAGTGGACGCACAGCTGGCTGAACGGCAAAACCATGGATTGTGGCATGCCGATATACTTTGTGTGCAACGTTCCACACACACAAGTCCGTTTTAATTTTTACAAGCCAAGAATAAGTGGAAGAACTCAGAGAAATACATTCAGGAGGGATGTCTGGCTTTCCTTTCTCCTATCTAGACGTGCTTGCAAGTCAGGTCTGAACTGTATTGAAGTGTTTTCATTGATTCGTGTCTGTTTCTTAGAAAACAAGACAGAAAGTTCGCGCTAACGCTATGGATTGTCCATTTCAATCAGAGAGTGAGTGGCACGTTCTCACCTCATTTGCAATTTTTAATTCCAATTGGACACTGCTTTTGAAACGTCCCTTCTTCTTTTCCCGTTCTGCTGCCACTTGAAAGTTGAAATGTAGCAAGAACGTAATGGTAGGTGCCAGCATGCTGAATTACAGGGTGACTGCTTTAGCTGATCCCAAAAAGCAAGTGTCTTTTTATACCGCATAAAAGCCTGAAATGTTTACATATCAAAAGGCTATAGGCCAATTTCTGTCAAAATTATACATGAAGCTAAGCAGTACAAGCAATTTATTTAAACACTAGTCATTGTAGAAAAATTCAAAACCATATGCTCTTTTAGCAGTTTTTCACAAATGCATTTGACCCATGACTTGGCAAGACATGCATGCTTCATAATTTACTCTAAATTTCAAATTCCCCTGACATTTAAATAAAAGATCTTCATTAATAGAGTTTATATGAATGAAAACTTTAGAAGCCGATATTGTTAGAGGGAAACTTTAAGGGGGGAAAGGGGAGATGCGTTTTGAAAACGCTACCTCGTTTTCAAAATGACTGACTTTCCTAATCAGTTCAAGATAAGTTTATTCTGGGAACAAATTACCGTAATTTCTCATTGTACCGTTGGTTTTTTGCTGTTGTTGTTGTTTTCCCCCGAAGTAATGATGCAAAAGCTGGAGAGTGATGGCATTCGCACGGGAGGGATGTGCTGCAAAGCTCCGAGGGGCTCTCGGCGCTGGAGCGGACCCTTTGATCCGCCTCAGCTTCCCCCGCAGCCGGGGTCCGGTGGGCGAATAGCGGCCGAAGCCCCTCTGTAGCCCCCGCCGGGAGGCCCCGACCGCGGCGTTGCGGCCCCGCGGGGCGACCGCGGAAGCTGCGCGGTGCTGCTCTGCCGCGGAACCCCCGCGCCCCGCAGGCGGCGCGTTTTGCGTCCCCGGAATTATTCCTTAATACCTCAAAATAAAACTACCGGCCGATTTCTCAACGAGCGCATTTCCATAGACTTGAGTACGGTGATTGCTTTGTATGAAATCGTGTTTGGGTAATAATATTGAAAATCAGTGCAGTGTTTACTGTATTTCCCACCTAACAGCTTGTTCCGCCCGGTGCCGTACTCCTCTTTAGGTCTTTCTTTCAGCCCATGCTGTGACTCTCCCTCAGTAACAAACAATTGCTTAGCAACACTATGCAGCACAATTTGCTTGCGTTTCATTTGTTATTACAATTTCATCCCGACATTGTGTGAGCGCTGACTGTTCGGTTAATACAATTTTACGTCTGCAAAGTTAGCGAGGAGTGGGTGCGAGATGAGAAACTGCGGAGCAGCCTTTGCGAAGTGGATATCGACACCGAGTTCGAGCTGCAAGGCTTCGGAGATTAAAACAAAACCAAACGAGAAGTTCCCCGACGGGAGTGACAAGGACTTGGAGAAAATAAAACAATCATCATAATAAAAAATCATTTCTAAATTGGCAACGAAGGTGAGCGTTGCAGTCTCGGCGACATCTCCGCGCTGCCCTCCATTCTTCCCTCCCTCCGTCCCGCAGAGGCCCTCAGGGCACCTGCGGAGGCCCGAGGCTGTGCCCTCATGGCCCGGCCCGGCGTATCCCTGGGCTCGGGGCCACCCGGAGCCCCCGCACCGCTGAGAGCTGAGGAGGCAGCAGGGAGGTGCGGTCGCGCGTGGCTGCGGAGCCGCTGGGACGTGAGTGAGCATCGCGAGGGGGGGAATTAAGTAACACGCGGGGCAGGGCCGGAGCCAGGGAACGACTGACCCCCCCAAAACCCAGTATCAAAGCACACAGACACACATCAAAAAAATCCAACCAGAACAGCAAATCAAAAACCACCCCAGAACGTATACAAAGTAAGAAGAAGAAAAGGAAAAGAAGAAAAAATAAAAGGAGAAAAAGAAAAAACTGACTATCCATCAAATTCTTTCCTTTTACATCAAATTTGTAAAATTCGCACAAAGGTCAGCTCTAAATACCAAAGGCGCAAGGAAATTGATAGGTAAATAAATGAAGGAAAAGAAACGATGGTAACTATTAGTCACATCGCTATGTATCAAAGTGAGAAAAGAGTCCTGGGGTCCTTTTTTCTTAACGTTCCTACGCGTCTTTTGATAGGCATAGGTCTTCGGTTTGGGTCAATATCAGACACAGTAACAAAATCTGGAATTTCGAGGAAAGGAAGGGCAAAGTGCGAGTGAGCGCTAACGAGGATGGTCTTTGTTGAGGAAAAATAATGTGTTCCTCGTAAACGGATATTAATAGCTTGTTTTCATTCCTTGCCTACAATTTCCTACCTTCTGTCATGGAGGGTTGATGGGGTAAATAGTCTAATCTGATTGAGTTCACCTCCTGTGGATTCCCAGTGACAGTCGTGACAGACGAAGTATTCTGCAAATCACAAGAGCAGCTACCAGGAGAGCCGAGTGTCTCAGCTGAGAATTTTACGGACTTTTAAACTGCTCCATTTCAAATTCTCGAAACATGAAATAGGCGAAGTTTCTCCGTATCTCCGCAGCTCTATACGTTTCGTTTTCGAAGTTAGAAAAGAAATTATTCTTGCTTAGAAAGTGAAAAGAAAAAAGCACCAGAACGGAGATGAGAAGCAAATCGGAGCACCTACCAGCTCGGCGATGTGAGATGGCAGCGGTCATTGACATTCCCACATTCTGGCTCGTTAAAAAACAGAAAACGATACCTGTGTGGATGAGAACACACAACATGAAATAAAATTTAAATTTTACAGTGTCTGAATGTTTCCTCTCCAGGTGATGTAGCAACAGAGGGAGAAAAATAGTTCGCATACTCAGCAGAAGATATTGCACAGCGCATAGAATGCAAATGACAGCAGCGCACTCCTCAGTGCCCCACCGGTTCCCTGAGTAAAGTTCGCCTCGTGGTACAGAAACACTTCGAGGGGGAAAAGTTGCGCGGTTATACCGAAATTTTTTTTTACGTGTTTCTCGATCAATTCGAAGTATAAATAATGAATCTGATCTTCAGACGGAGGAAATTGCACCCACTAATGCGAACTAACACGAGTAAAGTAGTGCATAATAGACAAGGCGAAGACCTGCTAACCACTTCTGCACAATGGCATTAATGAGATTAACCCGGGCAATTAGCCGGCGCAGCAGAGATCAAACCTAAATCTGGGGCCTTTCAAAAAAGCCCACTAATGGAAAAGGATTACGTTAATTTCATTAATTCTCAATCCACAGACCCAGGCTCCTTTCACTCCTTTGTGCAACCCCCCCATCCTTTCCCGACTGAAACGCGGGGGGTGGAGGGGAGGGGGGAGGGGGGGGGAGTGGGTGAAAAATCAAATCTGGTTTTGTTTGTCATCTGCATATTACCAGGAACTAAATCCAGGATGACGTCGCCTGGGTATAAAAAAGGGAAGAGGTTCGGATGGATTATACTGCGTGCAGCCCTCCGGGCTGAGATCAGTAAACAGGCGCGAGTCGAGGGGGGAAAGTTCCAGGGGTGGATCCTGCGCACACACACACGCACACACGCATGCACATACACTCTGCCCGACTGCTGCCCTCGGAAAAGGCTTCGCTCTTTTCTCTCCGATCCCTTTCCAAAATTTCTCCCGAAAGTTTCGATTTCGCGTCTCTCCCGCTTCCCCCCTCCCCTCCACCACCAGCACTGCCGCCGCAGCCTCCGGCAGCACCTCCCTCCCCCGGCCGGTCCCCGGCCCGCGTTGGGGCATGCCTGCGAGCATGTTCAGCATCGACAACATCCTGGCGGCCAGACCTCGCTGCAAGGACTCGGTGCTGCTGCCCCCGAGCGCCGCGCCCGTCGTCTTCCCCAGCCTGCACGGGGACTCCCTCTACGGCGCTGCCTCCGACTACGGAGGATTTTACTCCCGGGCTGTGGCTCCCGGCTCGGCGCTGCCGGCGGTCGGCGGCTCCCGTTTGGGCTACAACAACTACTACTACGGGCAGCTGCATGTGCCCGCATCTCCCGTGGCCCCGTCGTGTTGCGGGGCCGTGCCGCCGCTGGGGGCCCAGCAGTGCTCCTGCGTTCCCCCAGCAGGTAAGGGAGCGCTCGGGGGGGCGGGGGAGAGCGGACTCGCTTCGTCGGGGAGCGGCGGTCTCACGCACGAAGCCTCCCGTCGTCTCGTCTGTCTGTTCGTAGGTTACGAGGGCGCTGGGTCGGTGCTGATGTCCCCTGTTCCCCATCAGATGTTGCCCTACATGAACGTAGGCACTTTGTCCCGGACGGAGCTGCAGTTACTCAACCAGCTGCACTGCCGGCGGAAAAGACGGCACCGGACTATCTTCACTGACGAGCAGCTCGAAGCGCTGGAAAACCTCTTCCAGGAAACGAAATACCCGGACGTGGGCACCAGGGAACAGCTAGCGAGGAGGGTGCATTTAAGAGAGGAAAAAGTGGAGGTATTCCGATCCCCTCTTTCCCTTCTCTTCCTTTCCACTTTAAACGCGGAGATGCCTGAGTTCGGCTCCGCCGGCCGCGGAGAGAGAACAGGTTCGGGGCTGGGGAACGTCTCCGTTCCTGCGAGCGGGCAGAGAACGCGGAGGCGGCCGCACCGGGGAAGTTCCTGGCACAGCCCCGAACACGGGGGCGGCCGCGGGTCCGTGCGGTTCCAGGCGGGCAGGGCCCAGGGCTCGGGAGGGCCGGGGAAGGGCCTTTTCCTTTCTCTAACTTTGTTGCCTCGCTTAACAGGTTTGGTTCAAAAACCGCCGGGCGAAATGGAGGAGGCAAAAGCGGTCATCTTCTGAGGAATCGGAAAATGCACAAAAATGGAATAAAGCATCTAAAACGTCTCCGGAGAAGAGGCAAGAAGACGGGAAAAGCGATTTGGACTCCGACAGCTGATGCCGCGCAGGGGGACGCTCCCCGTGGACTGTAGGATACGCTCCAGAGGATGCTACTATCTTGCACAAGCTCTGCCTTGTCGGAGGGGAAAACTATCTGTATATAATGTACAATACCCCGAGTCGATTTCGTGTAAATAAAATGTGTTGCGGAGGTGTTGCACAGGCAGCCGGTGCCGGGTCCGTGCCGCGGGCGAGGGCTGCCGGGCCGCAGGTGGCCGCGAGCGGGATGGGCACGGCCGGAACCGAGCGGAGGGGGACGGGGCCGAACCTGGGCGAGGGGCGGCGGTGGAGCGGTTGCCTGCGCGTTCCCCGAGGTGAGGCGCGGAGGCCGCAGTCATAACGATCCGGTAATTTATTAGGGCCGCGGCAAAATGCCTTTTTATTATTATTATTATTATTATTATTATTTTCCCCCATGTCCTTTATTGCTCCCTCACCACCTTTGTACTCCCTGGTCGTAAACCTGGAATACTTGCAGGCAGCGCAAATCCAGCATCCCGTTTGTTCTTTTGCTGTGTTTCCTTGCACTTTTCACTCTCTTTTCTGCTTTCTGGAGCTTTGTCCCGCTGAGTTTCCACAAGTTTGCCTTTGATAGAAAAGCTATCTCACTACATCCGCATCTGAAAGCTCTCCTAATAAATTTCAGCCGCTATCAGCTGCGTTAAGCTTGAAGCGCAGCCCTGGTATGTTGCTCTCGGGGATGCTTGCTAAGAAGCTGCAAATTGATGTTTGGCCTCTAACAGCACCTTCGCTGTTAGGAAAGCAGCTCTCCTTTCGCTCTTCCTTCGAGGAGGCCCTCTTAGCAAAAGCATCTATTCTCCCTGTAAAATCCACATTCTTTTTTTCTTAGGCCTTTTTTTCTCGTCTCTCCCAAAATCTCAAGGCAGAGCTACTTCTCTGAGATGGCAACTTCCTCATATTGCTTTGCTGAGAAGGGCCTTCCCTCTCCTCTGTGAGAGTTCTATAAACTGAACGCTAATGACTTGAAGGTATGAAGTCAATGAGGAAACCTCCATACTGTGTGTTTCAATCAGCAGTTAAGGTTATTTAACATAATTTTTCTTAATTACCTTAAATGCCTGAGCTCACCTGTATACAGCAGCTTGTCTGGGTTAGGCAAGACATATAGGAATGCTCCAAACATTGTTTCCAGTGATGCTAGAAGTAGTTTACAACTGTGTTTCTTGTCCTCATGCTTTTCCTCACATTCAGGATGCATTCAGTTTTTATGGGCAGTGTAGCATAGTGCGTACCGTAGGTGTCAGTGGGACAGGGAAGATCCTGGTAGCTGTCTGCTCAGGTGACATTTCCTAACATTATGTGTGCTTCTTCGTAGATGTGGTATTTCTCTCCAAGCAAACTCTCCCTGTACCAGGTAGAAGGAATAGCTGCTGTGGAAGAAATTAACTGAGGTTTTGTATGAGTTAGTCCTTTAGGGGGCTTATTGTTTCATAGCTACTGCTCTCTCAGAGAAAAGAGTTGTAGTCTCCTTTTTTTTTTTTTTT